CTGACTTTTACTTTATTTAATGACAGTGGTTTAACTGCAAAGATTATTTAGTGTACTGAATAAAATTGGAATATAATAACAAATGATATCCTTTTTTCAGGTAATGTATTGACATTCACCCAGAGAGACTGAGGAAAATTCAGTCAAATTTAACTAACCTTCTTGCTCAGGATAATATTAAAATAATCTCAATGAAACAGTTTATAAAGATCTGAACTGAATTGAAGCGGACCAGGATCATGTCCAACAACAGGTTTTGGCATTACAGGTGTTCAACCTTCAAATTCTGTTACCAGAGAGTTAGCCCTCCAGCAAATAACATGTGTAGACATATAACTTAGCATGGTATATATTGCATTACTAACATCTGTTTAAATCTACCATGGAACCTAAACAGACTCTCACATATACGATATTGCTGCACTCTGTCCTGAACCATTCCAATTTGCTCACACTTTTTCATTCTCCCTAACAATACTAGGTGAAGCCCACAAACTGTAACACACTAAATGCCTACAAGAAAAGTGTCCACCACTAGAAACAGTTCATATTTTCTTTCTACAACATAGGAAAACATATACCTTGAAATCTAGAATCTCTGGAAGAGCAGAAACAGGTTTTGTGGATTCCCTCTCCAACCGTTGCTGCAGCTCCTGACTCTGCTCCTGCATTTGCTGGACCAGTTCACGGAACTTCGCAATAGTAATTTCTCGGTCTGCCAGCGTTTCTAAAGCTGCTTCCTTTTCTCGCTGTGCCTGCAATACATAATTGTGTAATTCTCTTAAACACAGGCAGTAGCATCAATATTTTCAGAATAATCACAGTAACACTAATATTTTATTTTCTGTACCTTTTATCATTTATTACTTGGTCTTAAAATGTCAATGTACAAAATTTTTCAAGTGTGAAAGAAAACTGAATATGATTTCTGCATTAATGTGCACATACACATAATTTTACAACAGTACATGTGCTGAGAAATACTGAACTATATTTCAGTGTAAAACCATGTAGAAAAGCCTAAGAAACACTGCAGTAACTCACCCAACATCTCATAAATTTCTTCTCATTAGTCATGGACAACCAAACAAGCCCTCTCCATAAAGGTGAAAGTTATCCATATGAATCATACCTCCCTAGTAGCAAAATTAGCAAGATCCACTTCCTCCCTCAGCTCCACTTCCAGTTCTCGGCTACCTTCTTGGAGCTGTTCATTCATGTCTTGTAAGGCCTCTAAATCTGCTACGGCTTCTTCCAAATCCTTGACACGTTCTTCAAGGGTAAGTTTGGAGTCTGCCAATTGTTGAACCATTTCCTCTGCCCCCAGTGCTGCATCAACCTAAGTTAAACCTGTTCTCTAAATATCTTTCCTATGCTTATGAAATATAATCCCTTAATTTAAGGAAATGACACAAATTACAATGCTTGAAAATGAAGTATCCATAATTTAGGATATTACACAATGAGGAAATATGTGACTTAAACAGTATACAAAAAACACTAGCAGCACCTTAGTAAGAGTGCACCTGAACTGCATACCTGCTCCTGCAAATCAGCAATTTGGTGCTCCATTTCTTCTACTCTTGAGCTCAGTTTCTCTTTAGTGCGAGCAAGCTCAGCAATCTCAGACTTCCTTTGATCCAGATCCTTCTGGAGTTTTTGAAACTCATGCTTCTCGTGAGCAGACAGGTCCCGCATTCTGTAACATACATGCGAAGGAATAATTAGTAACTGCCGGGATACCAATTTGTCTCTGAAACTGAATGTTACAAGCATAAAAAAATCAAGTGGTGCATCATTTGGTGCAGGTTAGAACTGATTATCCAGTAAGTGTCACAGGTATCATATTTTAGTTTCAATGTGATAAAACATTAATTAGAGCTAGAATGAAACGAGGAGACCAGAGAGTAAAAGCGTGTTACACATTAACAGTGTGATATTGTAAGATTATTTTCACGAAGAACTGTCTTGTGTTATAATGCTAAGATTGTTGTGAAATTTATAATATAGTTAATTAACAATAAATACTTTTGTTGCTCATACAGCTCAGTCAATAAAGGGACTAGCTATGGGCTGGAGGACAACTGATATTTGATTCTTGGCAGGGGCAGCAATTTTTCTCCTTGCGAGTTAGCCCTCCAGCAAATAACATGTGTAGACATATAACTTAGCATGGTATATATTGCATTACTAACATCTGTTTAAATCTACCATGGAACCTAAACAGACTCTCACATATACGATATTGCTGCACTCTGTCCTGAACCATTCCAATTTGCTCACACTTTTTCATTCTCCCTAACAATACTAGGTGAAGCCCACAAACTGTAACACACTAAATGCCTACAAGAAAAGTGTCCACCACTAGAAACAGTTCATATTTTCTTTCTACAACATAGGAAAACATATACCTTGAAATCTAGAATCTCTGGAAGAGCAGAAACAGGTTTTGTGGATTCCCTCTCCAACCGTTGCTGCAGCTCCTGACTCTGCTCCTGCATTTGCTGGACCAGTTCACGGAACTTCGCAATAGTAATTTCTCGGTCTGCCAGCGTTTCTAAAGCTGCTTCCTTTTCTCGCTGTGCCTGCAATACATAATTGTGTAATTCTCTTAAACACAGGCAGTAGCATCAATATTTTCAGAATAATCACAGTAACACTAATATTTTATTTTCTGTACCTTTTATCATTTATTACTTGGTCTTAAAATGTCAATGTACAAAATTTTTCAAGTGTGAAAGAAAACTGAATATGATTTCTGCATTAATGTGCACATACACATAATTTTACAACAGTACATGTGCTGAGAAAAACTGAACTATATTTCAGTGTAAAACCATGTAGAAAAG